AACGCTTACTGGCTAAGGAGCTTCATTTGATAGCTATTTCAATGTATTTCAACGCCTGACTGACTTTGGTGCTTAGTGGCCTCGGCTCTTATTCTAGCTTCATTTGATAGCGTATTTCAATGTTTTCAATGCCGTGACTGACTTTGGTGCTTACTGGCCAAGGCTCTTATTCTAGCTTCATTTGATAGCGTATTTCAATGTTTTCAATGCCGTGACTGACTTTGGTGCTTACTGGCTAAGGCTCTTATTCTAGCTTCATTTGATAGCATATTTCAATGTTTTCAACGCCGTGTTTTGGCCAAGGCTCTTATTCTAGCTTCATTTGATAGCATATTTCAATGTTTTCAACGCCGTGACTGACTTTGGTGCTTACTGGCTAAGGCTCTTATTTGCCATAATTTGGAATATTTCAATGTTTTCAACGCCGTGACTGACTTTGGTTTACTGGCTAAGGCTCTTATTCTAGCTTCATTTGATAGCATATTTCAATGTTTAACTGACGACTTTGAAAACTGGCCAAATATCTTATTCAGCCAAATGTTTTCAACGCCGTGAGACTTTGGTGCTTACTGGAAATTCAGCTTCATTTGAAGTGTATTTCAATGTTTTTCAATGATGATTGACTTTCCTTAATTAAGGCTCTTATTCTAGCTTCATTTGGATCAATGTTTTCAATGCCGTGACTGACTTTGGTGAGTTGGCTAAAATGGGTTCCATTGCTAGAAGGAATCTTAGATCTCCTGGTTTTTAAATTGCATTGAAGCTTGTTGCGTTGAAACCACATTTAAGAAGTTGGAAAATCAATGAAGAAAAGTTCGATATCTTACCACAGCTATGGATAACTTTCAGAAATTTCCTTTTGTAGCCAATATTGAATAATTTTTTAAATTTTGAAAAAAAAAAAACTGTTAAATGTCCACCGCCCACCATTATGAATTAAAAACTCCCAATACCCCCTTTCAACATAACAGAGCCCACAAGAGGGTGCTAGCTCCCACTTTGGGAAACACTAATCTATATTATGTAATATTGTGTAAATTCAAACATATTCAGGGTATTGCAAATTTATTATCCGTCAGTGTATAGAGTTTGAAAAATCATCGTAAATTAAAGGGTAATTATGGGTTATTTAATGCCGAAATTTAAATATTTTGAACACAACTACAGATAAAATGTATTGTTGGTAACTTTACTATAAATAGGTATTGTTGGTAATTTCACTATAAATATGTATATTTTTATATAAAAATGTATTGCTGGTATTTTAACTATAAAGATGTATTTTTGATACATTTATAGTGTTCGGGGGTTCACTATTTGCCCATAGCCAGGGCCCTAACAGGTGCTACCACCCCAGGTCAGATTGGAGCTGGGAACAACAGCAATTAAAATATAGAAGAAAAGAAAACGAAACAGAAAATCTAGATAAGAAAACAGAAAATAAATACATGGATAAAATTCTATGTAACACGTTTCGTCTTTTCAAAAGGGCTTCTTCAGATTAAATAATGCTTGTTTTTATTAATGGAATTATATATATATATAGGGGGACGGAACGGAAATATAAACAAAGGTCGATTAGAATTGTACATTGAGAGAAATGCTGAAAATGCAGGAGTGCTTATCTTTTAATTTACACTAGCAGCATGGTCCGGCGTTGCCCGTGCTTGATTCCAAAACCGTACGACTCATACAGCAATCGCTATCACCTGACTTAAAATATTTTTGCCCTTCCTTGCCTTTAAAGGAGTGCCCTTTGCCATGCTGATGTTGCTACATGCATGTCTTACTTCTTGCCTATCTCATACTGTGAATTTTTTCTAAGCTCTATACTAAACAGTAAATATATTACGAAAAAAGAACTAAACAAAATGAACACAAAACGATCAGCTTTAAAAAAGGACTCGTAACTGGAAAAAACGAATGAAAAAAGAATGTTAACAACAAATACTTTTTCACACCCAACCCAGTTCTGCGGAATCAGAATCAACGTTGAGTTTAAGCAAGCGAATGAGCCAACTGGAGTAAAGTGCCATGCAGATTTAAATTTTTCCCACTTGTGACGAATGCATCTATCGATTTTTTTTTTATGCTAGCATGCTAGTTAACATTCGTGTCAGTCAGCTGTTGGCTCTCACGCTGGCCAATAGAATCTTCCTGCCTATTCGTGGCAGCCAGCTATAGGTTCTCACTCTGGCCAGAAGAAAATGTCCTCAAACTACATGAAAACTACCGTAGAATCATAAAAAATCAATTATTTCCACTATCGATGGGAGTTGGGAAATGCAAAGTCGGTCTTGGCTTTCTCGCTAACTTGGAGCAAGTGCATGTAAAATTTTGTGCAAATCCGTCGAAAATTGCGGCCGTGCATGCATCACACAAACACACACATCCTGCCTTTTATAGATAGAGATTTAAACCTTCTGCCCGGGTCTCTTGATACACAGCATAGCTGATTTCATTCGACTTCTTACCGCTTGTTTTAAATATCACCATATTGTAATGGAAATAGTTCTGTAATGTGAGGTGATATGCTGGATGTAAGTAAACCGCGGAAGATTCTGGAGTTAGCACACTTTCTATATATAAAAATGAAATCTTTAAGTCGAAATTAGCGGCTCCGATTGAGGAATCAGAGAACCAAGTTCGAACTCCACTCGGATCCATTACATTCACTTACGTACTAATACCCTTTGGAAAAGTATGAATCCTCTTCTTCTCCCCAGCTATGGATAAATAGCAGAACAGACTGGGATCTTTAACCCTGAGCTCTTTAGCCTTGCGTGGCAACCGGTCTAGGAGAGTGAAACTCTGAATTTAAAACCGGCCTCGGCTCGATCAGGCTACAGGTCTCCTTTTTCGCTAGTTAAACTACTTAGCGATCCTCCACTCCTTCCTCTTCAATGCTGATTTATTTCGATGAACAAATAACGCATTAGTTGTGTTGTTTTGTAAAAGTCACCTTTATTATTCAGATATTGTTTTATTTCAATTCCTAGAAGTCGCACCTATAAAATTCTTGTGGTAATATTAGTCAATAGTGTCAATTCTTACTCTGGCTTTAAAGTTAATATTAATTTGCTTTGTATTATTTCAATCTTGTATTATTTTACAAGTAGTATATCTCTTCCTCGTGTAAGGATTACGGCTACATCACGTTGAAACACCAGTATTCATACTATCACCTAAGTTAATCAACGTTAAACCCGGTCAGTATCTGGATGGATGACTGCTCGAAAATACCAGGTGTGTAAACTTGGATGTGTGGGCGGTATAATGATTTCGGGAAGAGAAATCGGACAGCCGAGTTCGAATCCCAATCTGGTTTATTATATTCACTTACGGGCAAATATCATTGAGAAAAGTATGAATCTACCTCTCCTAATCCCAGCTACGGGTTAAATAGTAAGATTTGTATCTGAAGATTATTATTATTATCTGACCTTAAATTCTTACGCTCTAAAAATATATTTCGGCTTTAAATAAACTGCAAAAGTTTGATAAGGCGTAAAAAAATAAATCAATCTTCTCTGTCTAAATACTGAGGACTACAATTTTTTTCGATATTTAATTATAGTTGACCTTTGTTTACATTTCCGTCTCCTCGCCAAGTATATATATAGAATTCCACCAATAAAATCATTATTTGGTCTGAAGAAGTCCTTTTGTAGAGCGAAACGCGTTACATAGGATTTTCCCCATTTTGTCATTTAATTATTCACCAAGTTATCGTATATATATATATATATATATATATATATATATATATATACTAGTAGCATAACCCGTCTTTGACAGGGTCTTTCATTACTGGGAATTTTTGCCGTTCAATTGGAGCAGTTTAATTTTAAAGTCCGCCCACCCGAAAATCAATATTAGTAACAACATTTGGGTTTAACTGAGACACATCCCCAAATGGGGGGGTTAACAATTTGAATAGGGGGTAGCCCTGAAAAGGGCCTTTTTTGCGTTCTCAATCTTGCAAAGGAGGAACCTCTTCCATGGAACGTCATAATAATAGTATACGACAATTTTTATTTATAATATAATTTTTTAAATAATTCTAATAATCTTATGCGTTACATTTCAACTCTCTCAATTAATTGTACGCTGTTTTTTTACAGACATTAAATTTTAAATTTAATTTTTGCGCAAAGTGTAAAAAATCGTTTTTTTTTCTTTTCGATTTTTAACTTTCAAGGTTGTAATTTTTTCCAGCATATTTGAACTCAAAACCGGCACTGAAGAATTATATATCAAACAAAAAAATTTCATCGAAATCGAATAAAAACTGTGGAAACGTATAAACAACACCTGAATATATACGCACATACACACTCATACAAAAAAACACACATTTTGAGAATTATATATATATATATATATATATATATATATATAAAAGAAAGAGGTTGTAGTGGTTCAAACGAGAGAAAATATGTATATTAAAAGTTTTTGGTTTTAATGTTTTTTTTTTAGAAAGTTTTTTGGTTTAATGTATTTTTTTTGTTCTTTTAGAAAAAAATATTGATATGAGACATTCTCTGTTTACACAAAAACAGAGAATGTCTCGTGATATCGAGAATATTTAACATTGAAAAAATTATTAAAAAAATTAATTATTTTTAATAATATTTGGACATTAAATGCTTTTACCTGAAGACGGTCACGAGACCAGAAACACGTGTAGTAAAATTATGGAAAATAAAGCATAATATTTTTTCTAAAAAAAAAGAAAGAAAAATCACATTACAACCAAAAAACGTTTGCGGCACCTCCCTGCAAAAACTTTTTTTTAATATATATATATATATATATATGTGTGTGTGTGTGTGTGTGTGTGTGTGTGTGTGTGTGTGTGTGTGTGTGTGTGTGTGTGTGTGTGTAATATTTTCTCATATAAAAAATATAAAGGAAGAGATATCCAGCTGAGAATTTCGGACAACTTAATCGGATATTGTTTCAGGTTTTCTTTTTTTATTATTATTATTTTCTTTTACCTTTAACGGCAACACTTCTTTGTTGATCTCAAAGAAGTAAGCCATGGCCTTGGTCCAGGAAAGTAAACCCGCTACATTGCCGCATACTTTTTTGGCTACTTCAAGACTGTAGTCTTCCATTGTTAGATAAGGTTGAAGTAGTTCCACCGTCTCATCATTGATGGAATCTTTCGGAAAAGACATAAGGGCTTGTAAAAAGCCGGCGCCACTCATTAACTGAAAGAAAAAAAATACATAATTTTATAATATTCTATGAATAGTGAATATGTTATTGGCCCTCGTTCGATGGCGTTCCTTCGGAGGATTTGCGCGATTGCGTCTCGATTAAGGGACAAGCCTCGCGAAATGGAGTGGCTCTTGCAGCGTGTCTCACTGGCGATGGTTCGGGGTAATGCTTTCTCCATCACTGCGGCTGTCAGAGGATAGGAAAAAATACAAAAAAAAAACATTTTGTTTACAGTTACTTTGTTGAAAATATTTTTCTATGAATTATGCAGATTAATATCCGGATCCCTTTTCTATTTTTAAAGACACCGGTTCAAAGGGCGCGGTCTTACATTTTCCTTAGCACGTCTAGTGCTGTAAACGTATTTATGCGTCTTAATAAAACTTTCCATCGATGTATATACCGGGCGTAACAGCAAAATTGTCCAAATCGTTTAACAGCATAATTGTCCATCCCACCAAATGTTTAATATCTAAACAACCACTAAACTAATTGAGTTTATTTTTTCCATGTTTTCAGATAAGACGTCTAGCCATCTCCACAACATTTGTCGCAAGAGTCACTGAAAAACCCTTTTAGTTATTCAGCTAGAAAGAGAACATTTTAAAATCGTTTTGTGTCTTCCCAAATGAGCAATGGTGAAAGGGAAAAGATCACTCAAGCCTTCAGTAATGGTACCAACATTCATACTCTGGCTGCCATCTTCAAAGTCCATTCAAGAACCATGAAGAGAACAGTGAATATGTTTTATAAAAGAGGGAAAAGTAGACAGGAAAACTGGATCAGGAGGTTACAACAGGATGAGGGATCATCATTTCAGCTTACAGCTAAAGAGATCAATTAGAAAAGATCCAACCCATAATACGTTAGGCACCCGAGAGAGAAGTTTTAGCTATGACAGTCCAAAGAGCGGTGAAAAAAAGCATTGAAAGCACCAGGGCAGAAAGTTAGAAGTTTAGAGAGGGCGAAGATCATCTTGAATATGTTGGAAAATTATCCTTGAAATATATATATATATATATATATATATATATATATATATATAATTGAACTTTATTTCAATCCTTCATGAGTTTCTGATCCTTAGCTATGATTATTGACATGCGATTATGGACATGTCATTTTCGCTTGTGATCAATTTCATCAAGTCCTCTCGTAACGTAAGAAGGCGATCGAGCGTTTGCTCTCCTCTCTCTTGTGGGGTGGTTGCAAGCATCACATCGACAGAGATGTCTATGCCCAACGGACATGTCATGTTAGGCTGAGAATGCCACACTTAGCTTCTCACCGATTAGCTTTCCTACGCCGCGCGTTGACAGAGGATTCGATGTTGAAGGGTGGTGTGAGTGCCGCATTCGCTCGCCTTAACATTACTCCTGATTCTAGGGCTTAGTGACATCGTAGGCCCCGAGATCAGTCGGATTTCCTCCTCGAGTGTCGATCGGCCTTGAGGATCATTCAATTATTGGAGTGGGTCGGGTAGGATCCTTTCTAGTCTCGGGCACCACTGCCGGATTATCTCAGCAACCCCGAGTTTTCGCTTACCTTGCGATTGGTTCGGAATTGGCTACCACTCAGTGATGTAGCCTTCAGATGTGGCTTGTCGGATTTGCCTGACTGTCATCGGTGCGACCATGGTTTAGAGAAAACGTCTTTGCATGCCTTCTACCATTGTCCTCAGGTGGGACTATGTCAGCGAGTTCATTGATCGGGCATACTCGTGTGACAATGTGTCACCCCATATTCTGGGGTGAAACCGATGGTGTTTCTGACGCCGCTGGCCACGACTAGAATGGTGATTTGGACGACGCGGATGGAGGAAATCTTGCAATGTGATCGCTATTCTCATCAGTATCCTTTGAGCATCAGCTCAGAATGAAGATTAGAACTGATAGAAAGCGGTTGGTATTGACTGATTGCAGCGAAAGGTGGGTAGCGAGCCTGGTTCACATGAACGGGTCTAGCCTTGATCTTTTTTAAGTCCCCCTACGTCATAATGGTGCAAAAAAGCGCATCTCTTGAAGACTACAAACAGCAGTAACAACTAAAATGGATAACACATGTCATTCAAAAAGAAAATAATGATATAATCAAAGTGTTGATGTTTTTCACACTACTTCATGATCAAAAATGGCATCATGACTTTTTCCACTGAGCTGTTTTGAAAAAAAATCACACATATTTTACATACATAAAGCCCTTCATAAGGTGTTCGTTGTATTCGAGAGAACAATTTTTTGTTTTTCTTTTATTATTATTTCCTTTGATTTCTGTTGTAAACTCACTTCCTTCCGGGTCCCAACCAGAAAGCTAAGGTCAGAAATGGCATCATGACATTTTCAACAGAACATTTTTGTAAAAATAAAAATAAGACAACCCAAGACCCCACACATTTTACATAGGTAAAGCCCTTTATAAGGTGTCAATTATGCTTGTGAGAAGAATTTTTTTTTATATTTCTTTAAGGCATAGGTGTCACTTCAATGAGTCCATTAGAAACTTTTCCAAACACAGAACCCCAACAACAACTGGAATTATGGATGTCGACATGTATCACATTTTTTTTAGATTTCTACTTCAAGATCCTGTATTTTGATTAATCTGAGAACTTCAGCCATGTTCTTAAATAGCCTCGTCAGATCGAAACTTTCATACGGATATTATGCATGGTACCAAACCTGTTCAGAAATATCTAAAGTGTCAGCTGTATACAACTGCTTTCTGAGATATTTAAGCGAGTGAAGCCTGAGTGTCTTGGCAAAGAGGATCCATCTTTGAACATTGTGGACTGGCGCTACAAAATCACAAACAAAGAACTGTCTCAAATAACAAAAAAGCGCATCACTTGAGAACTTTCAACAGCAGCAACAACTAAAATGGATAGCATATATAATTCAAAGATGAAGTAATGACATAATCAAGATGTTGACATTCCACACTACTCCAAATAAAAGACTAGAAAGAGCGATAATAGTTAGTGGACTTGAGAAAACTATTTTCCTGAAAATTGTTTTAAGAGAAATACTTTATGAATTTCAACCGAGAACAGTACTAGCTGCTCGGTCAGATCAATGTCGAATGTTTCCTTATAAGGAAACGGGTAATATTACCAATGGATGAAATATTATACATATCATGAAATATCACGAAATCTAGAAAATATAAATTTTAAAACCTTCCTAATTCAAATTGTTACTTACTTTTAAAGATTCCCCCCAAGATGGCTTGAAAAATCCAGGTTTTTCTGGATCCGGCTGGGTCGGATCCAGTTTTCTTTGAAATAGCAGAAGAACTGAATCCATGATTCGCATAATCAAATGCGGTGGTCTTCCGAGCTTGCGCACCGTTGCAATGTCAGCTGGGCGAATTGTGTTTAAGGCAGCTTTGGCGTCTTCAAGTGCTGGCCGAGCGGCTTCGAGCTTGTCCATGGCGAATTTTTTGTCTGTTTCAATGCCATCGACAATCTGCTGAGCGAGATCCTTCACTTTCTGAACTTGGTCTTTGCTCTTTTCCGTGGCTTGCGCTTTTACCGTCACTTCTTTGAGAACGGCTTCGGCTCTTTCAGTGGCCACAGACAGTTCTTTTTGTTTTACAACCAGCTGCTTGTTCAAGTCAACCACGGCCATCGACGCTTCGGTAAGTTTTTCCAGGCCTTTAAAAGATAAGAGTTTAAAAATTGAATAAGCTCTTACTTGAAAGAAATACATTTGAATTCACATTCTTCCAACGATATATGATAATTATGATAACAACTGAACTAGGTGTTCATTTTCTAAGTAATTTTAAATTAAGTTTTTCAGATCTTTAAAGTCATATGGAGTGATAAGTCATTTCGAATTAAGTCATTTTTCCCGTTTTTTTTTTAAATATTATATGGAAAAATAAAAATCGCCTTACGTCGTTTTACTTGAATTTACGTCGGCCGTTAAAAATATTAGAAGCGTCAAAACACTAAAATAACAATAAACACATATAAAATTATACTCAAATAGATTTTAAAATAATATATATATATATATATATATATATATATATATATATATATATATATATATATACTCCTGGGAAATCCGGTTGAGCTCTCGAAAGAAAGAGGTTTTAAAAACAACAGTGGCTCATACTGCTGTCAATGTATTACTCTTCAAGTATTAATTGAGTTCTCCGGGTTACGATAGCTTAGGGGTATGATCTCTGACTAATGTCAAATCGGCCGTGTTCGGACTAACTACACTGAAGAGCTGTGATACAGCGAAACCATCTATCTATCTATCTCTATCTATCTATCTATCTATCTATATATATATATATATATATATATATATATATATATATATCATAGAATCATCAAAGCAAAACAATTAGTAGAATAAAGTATAATATAAAGTAGATGTTCATCGTTCGTTTTTTCCGCTTCAACACCGATTTTGAATTCAGGCTGGTTTATATCTGTGCTCTGCCGTTGACGTTCCTTCAATTACATTTCAATTGTGATTTAGAATACATTTTTGCCAGTGGCTTTAAAGAAAAGTCCCAGTGCAAATGCTAGTGGTGGAAATTAATTTATTCAGAGTACTGTACGAATAGGGAGTGCTTATTTGCAGTTTGTAATGTGGTTATTTCGACCTAAGTCGTGATCTCTGGAATCAATTAACGACGTAGGGCGAGACATACCTATAAACTCCTACAAATAGAATATAAAACTCACTTCTAGTTGCAAGGTACCAAGAATAGATTCAACTGCTTTAAGTTTTTCTATTAAAATTTGTACTCCGTAGTATTATTATTTACAAGTATTTATTGAATATTAATAATCATATTATAGACTCTCTGATGTGTTGATTGAGGTTAATCAATGCTTGTTAACGCTTGTGTAAAAAGACTGTCTAACCTGCTCTCCCCTATTATTGAAACATGGATTCGCCCATTCGCCCAACGTCTGCTCATGGAGCAGGATGAAAAAGTGGGTCGCTAATGTGTAGCCGTACTGAGCTACTGTATTCCCAGGCCATGTTCTCATTTGATTAAACCCTTCTTCCCTCAAACCTTTGTTTCCAATGTTTCCCTTACAATCTTACTAACTAGCATCTACGAGCGTTATACGAACTTTAAAACATTAACCTACGTGACAGTGTATTGTTTATGTAACCAATATTACTTTTTTTAATGTTTTGCTACTTCGGGAAGAGAATTATTATGATTCTCCATAGATTATTTTTCTATATTATCTTTGACTTGTCATGATTTCTTAGGAAAGATAGTGGAGACGTTTCTCGTTGCTTTCTCTATGGTTTTGAATTCAATTTGTCCTTCTTCCACACAAGTCTACAAAGGTCTGCATTACCATAAGCTGTTAGAAATTTCTTAAATAAAGGCTTGTCATCAGCCTTCGTAGTAAGGCAGGTTGAACATAAGTGTGCTTACCGGAATTCATCCTGTTAACCATTTCACCAAGTTCGTTTTTCTTCTCTGTGTAGACAGTTTTATAGCTATTGATGAACGACAAATAAGATTTAGGAGTCACGTGGGCAGATCTCCGATATCTAATGGGATAAAAGAGGAAAATAATTAACAGGAAAGTAATAAGTAGAAACGTCATTTTTTTTTTAAACAATCAAATACACTTGTTCAGGTTAAATCTTCAACGAAACATTTTTAAGTCAATATTTGTTTAATCAGAAACTCATTGTTTGGCGCTGCTATAAATAATTTACACGCTTACGATTGTCACGAGTCCATTAAAACGTTGGAAGATATAAAATGGCGTCGATATATATCTTAGTAACTGTCAATTTTTTTGGCTTTGCTGATTGCTTAAGTCGTAAAACTGACAGTCATCTGTCTGTAGTGTTGTGTTCTCTGCCCACCCTGTTTATACACACACACACACACACACACATATATATATATATATATATATATATATATATATATATATATATATGTTTTAAAATTATTATATATATATATATATATATATATATATATATATAGGAAAAGTGCTCAATCAACAACCGCTTATCTTGACAAAATCGGCTGTATTGTTAATCGATACAGTAAAATAAATGAAACGCAGTCAGTGTGAATGGCATGCAACTGAAACAAATTTAAACATAACTTGACGAAGACAGAGATAGTATCGAAATATTTTTGAACAGTGTCAAACAATGGGTGTTTTTTTTTTTTTTTTTTCTTTTTCTTTTACTCCTAAGTGTTTAAAATATTGGAAGAGTTAAGTCATTTTATTTTGAATAATAATAATAATAATAATAATAAATTCAGTGACCTTGATGATGATACAACAGTTTATAAGTCTTTCTTTCTACGCACCGTGTCCTTTCAAGACGTAGACGATCATAGCTCTCCACTTATCCCTTGCAGCTCTCAACAAGTTCCGTCTTTCTGCCACCTCCCCCAGAACACGTTCTGTCATCCACTTTCTTAAGCCTGCTAGATATGTCATGTGTTGTTTTCCCTTGTCTCTTTTTCACTATATTCGACCTCTGAGTATCAGATTCTCCAGGCCCTCCTTCCTGATTATGTATCCCAGAAACTTCAGCTGCCTCTTCCTGGGGTTAAGTATAATCCCCCTCCTTGTTCGCATCGTTTCTTTAATAAGATTTTTAGAATATTCAGGTGGGTAGATGAAAATAAATTGATTTAAAAAAATAAACAGAGTATCTGTCTTTTTAAATATGGATATCCACTAAAAATAACGTTCAAACTAATAAAAATCTGTCGGGTTAATGAATTACATCAATATATATATATATATATATATATATATATATAGCGGTCCACACGTATTCGAGGATACCCGTCTACAAGGACGGCTAGCCAATCCCTATTGCAGACGCTCGATCAGGCGCATTTGGGTTTATTCGACAGCCACGGAGGCCACTTTTAGTTTATGCTGCAACTATGCTGAGTAGACCTTAGTTACAGTTTCTGGGAAAGAGCGTGTAATCTAACGTGATCAACAATTTGAACAAGGCCATCACGCTCAAACACAGCTATTGCCACCCCACCCCAAGGGTTCCGTCTACCTAATCTCACTCACAAGGCTTGAGTGAACTCATGGTATGGTTTTCAGGCACTTTACAAAGTCGCCACACGATGGTGATATATTAATAAATGCTCATATACCTACGTTTGGTGTGCGACTTAAGTTTCGTTGGCTACCCAACTCGTCGGGCACAAGATATAGCTTATTGTTTATTTAAAATATATACTGAACATCTGTATATTTTTTTAAATGAAAAAATAACCTATATCTTGTGTCTGATGAATTGGATAACCAACAAAACTCGAGTCGCACGTCAAATGTAGATATATATGTATTTATTAATATATATATATATATATATATATATATATATATATATATATATATATATATATATCTTAGCTCTGTCTAATCACATTGAGCACTATTATGTCTACGCGTCTTGGCTAAATTTGGTAATTATTTATTACCAGAGTATGCACGCCAGCAAACGCGTACACGGTCGCTAATATCTAGTTATTTCATTTACCTAACCTTATACATATATATAACATTTTGTCGTTGATAAAAAAAAAAAAAAAACAGACGACATGCGTTGAACGGATGTCAAAATTCGTTGAAAAATGTACCCCTACCATACCTAGACTTAACCTCTTTTTCGAAAGTAACTCATAATTGATACAATAATATTTAATAAAAATGAACACGCTACCACCCCGGTCTAAATGATTAGATTTCTCCGTATCCTTGGAAACAAAAATTATGAATTGTATGTGCGTTTAAAACTCAGTAAATTTCAAAATAAGTTATCCCAAAATTCAAAAGATGAAACAGAACTAATGCTTTTAATTATATAATTAAATTTGAAGTCTTTAGCTTCGGTTTTTGAAACATGGTAATTCCTATGTAGCAAAAAAACATATTTTAAATCAGTTAATATATATATATATATATGAGCACTATTTTGTAAAAATAAAAATATCTATAAGAACACCGGATTTTATATCTTACTGTTCTTTCTTTTTATTTATATATATATATATATATATATATATATATATATATATATATATTATTAGTTTTACGCCTTTGTCAGATGATCACTTTTTGATGTATAATTAATATGTATATGTTCCACTCTGGTGTACATCGAGGTGGTGTAATGGTGAGCAAGCTTGCCTTTCTGGAGCAATTACGACTTGTTAGTGATTTCGATTTTTACTGGGTTCCTCATATTTTCGACCTTTAGCCATATCTAAGCTACGCTTGGCAAATCACTATATGTGTCACTCTGAATGGCATATGCCTATAGAATGGAATTGTATTTGATTTTATTTTAGTCAACTTTATGACCAGCAATAAAAAATTTTCGATTTTGTCCCTCAGTGAATTCGTGTAGGTGTACATTAATAGCTGACAAAATAGTCTTTGTGTTACACCAGGTGGTTTTATGGCAAGAGGACAATTTTTGAGCGAGATAGGAAAACACTAAGGTAGATATTGTTATTGCGTTTTGTTTTTTGTTGTTGTTGATTCAATATATTTTAATCATTTCACTCAAGCAAGGCAATAAAGCCCCTAAGATGCAAAGATGACTGAGTGTTAGAGAACTTGAGAAAAATATACTATTAAGGAGAGAGGACAATAAAAGAATAGCAATTAAGAAGACAGAAGATAACGTTTGACATTGCATTTAATTTTTTTCAACATCAAATTTGTCAGGGAAGTAAGAATCCACAAGCGAGAAGTGCGAGAAAAGAAACTTTTATCACATAACTTACGGTTACATCTAGCCATCTCGACTGTAAAATGAGACCTTGTTGACAATCCAGTATTGCGCTTAAATTGGTACAGTCTAGCTACCATAGAAGAAAATATTTATAGAAAAGGCAAAGGTAACCCACATAACGGCGGTGGAAAAGTGACTGAAGCCAAGATGCCAGGGCAGGATCAATAAAATTGCTGATTCTTTTTGGATTTTATCCAGAATCTCTAAATTATTGCAGGCGCACAAGACTAAATCTGGCAACCCTATTTAATGCAAGTATTCAATTTTTCAATTTACCTGTGAAAATATTCCACGCAGCTCTCAGCAACGCCATCTTGTAAAGCGCCCATAACATTGACCATCTGTTTCTTCACTTCATCTGTGCAGACAATGTCGAAGTTTGAGATGAAATGATTGGCTACAGCGATGAGGGCGTCTTTCGGCCACCTTTGGAACCAATCCATCGTACAGCCCGAGATCAAACCAGAAAACTTTAGGGAACGTTCTCGGAATTTTTCGCCAACCTAGATGACATAAATTTTACAATTTAAAATCCAGTTTTACTACATGTTCACATGTTTAACTTGGTGCATAATCATAATCGATTTTTACGTTTACATACCCTACATATATATATATATATATATATATATATATATATATATATCCTCTCTCACCTGTTTTTTATATATATATATATATACAACTTTATATATATATATATATATATACAACTTTATATATATATATATATATATATATATATAAATATAAATATATCCGCCCTAACTCCTTTATATATATATATATATATATATATATATATATATATATATATATATATATATATATATATATATATATATATGCATGTTTCGTTAAAAACGACAGACAAGGTACTATTATTTTTAGTCTTTTTTTGCAAGTGGATGCAGTTAATATATTAGTTTTTTTTCTACTAGTATGTTCCTAATAGTGTCAGGTAAATCTGAGTGTGTGTTTAAATGTGTTCTGATGGAACTGTGATCAGATAGGTGTAATGTAAGACGTCTGGATAAACATGTGGTTGTGTAGCCGATGTAATTATTTATAAGACTAAAAATAATGGAAGCTCTAATAATAAAAAAGAAAAAGCCAACTCTTAACAATATCAACTATGAACAAAGCCACAATGTGCTAACCGTATTCGGAAACTAAAACATCACTACCACACACTGAACATACATAGAACACACACTCTACTAAGTTGATAATTGAACCATCCTTGATAATGGCTAAAGGTATAGCCGAAAGCGCTCGGAAACACAGAACATTCGGACAGTTCTTACACACTCTTTGTCCAGAAAAGAAAGCTCTTGTCAGAACACAAGAAAAATTAAATAAAAAGCTCAACTGTAGTACCTTGTCTGTCGTTTTTAACGAAACATGCATAAAGGAAGGATTGCTGCCTAAATATACAAATATATATATATATATATATATATATATATATAAGTTCCATTAAATATGACAGACAAGGTTCTTTGATTAAGTTTTTTATAGAATTTTTCATGTGATCTTATAATTTTTTTTCTTTTCAGTAGATAAATTAGATATCACTAAATAACATACGATACGATTCCTTAGAACTAAATAACATACGATACCATTCCTTAAAACTAAATAACATACGATACCATTCCCTAGAACTAAATAACATACGTTACCATTTCATAGCACTAAATAACATACGATACCATTCCCTAGAACTAAATAACATACGTTACCATTCCATAGCACTAAATAACATACGATACCATTCCCTCAGAGTTTGTCTATATTTCTGAGATGAGGTATTATGTACAGTATTTACATTAGTCGGACTATTGTCCTCATCTTTGTCGCCATATTTGTCACAACGTTTCGGCCGTTGTACGCTCCGGCCTTCTTCAGGTGGTTGGAATTTCGAACTAAACCCTTTATTTCGATCGCTGGGGTAGACTGTTCTAATTCCACGTGCCATGTTCGATGGATGTCAGTTATCAGTTATCTCCTGCTCTCCTCTGAAAGTTCTCCACTGCCTTAACCAGGAATTGAACTCACCTTCTTTGGGTCTGTCACTGGATCTAACCAACGCCTTTATCCACTGTGCCATGTGTCCTTGAGAACATCTGGGTATGAACTTCTGAGTATTATAAACCTAATGTTTTCAGCATCATTTTTTACCAGTGCTCATATTGCAATTTTTTGCTGTTATCATTGCATGTCTTTACCAGAGTTCATATTGCAACTTTGTTATCATTGCTTTTCTCTGGCACTCCTTATTACTGGTTCCCATATTGTATTTATTTCTATGCTTGGTCGGCTCAGGAGATTTTTGTGGCCTAGCATATGTGCTGATTCCTTAAGTTTACGAATTTTCCAATGGTGTTCCCTGTCTATGATCTCAACATGATCCCACAGGGGCGGTGATCTCCCTTCTCTCTCCATATGTGGTCAGCCACGCCTGATTTTCTACTTCCCCTCGCGTTACAGCTTTCTGGTGTTCTTGAAGCCTTACCTTGAGGGGGCGGCCTGTCTCTCCTTTATATTCCTTTTCCGCAGCTGCATGGGATAGCGTATACAGTCTTTAGTCATGTTCCTCTCTATGGGGGTCTCACTCGTGAGAGATACCATGAAGTGTTGTCACGCTTTTGAAGGTTGTCCTGATGTTATATGGACCGCAGATCTTTTGTATTTTCTCTGATAACCCCTTCACATAAGGCAGGCAGACTGTTTTCTGAGTGTTGTTGTCCTCCTCCTCCTCCTTCTCTTGTACCCCGCCTATCCCAGTTTTTGGGGCTGCTGCCATGTACCCAGGGTAGTTGTTGCGTTGTAGGGTACTACTTATACTGACCAATTCCTTATCTAACGTCTCTGGATCGCCACTTATGACTTTTTGCTCGATGTTGTAAGCATCGGACGATCCCTTTCTTTACGCTGTATGGATGGTGGGAGTTGAAATTGAGGTACTGTCCGGTGAATGTTGGTTTACGGTATACGGATGTCTTGAACCCATTCTCTGTTCGAGATATTATTACATCCAGGAATGGGAGTGAGTTGTTACTCTCTTTCTCCATTGTGAACTGTATCGAAGGTCTTATTGAGTTCACATGGTCCAGAAGAACCTGGACTTCTTCCTGATGTGGCCAGAGTATGAAAGTGTCATCTACGTACCGTAACCATATAGTTGGCTTTAGCGATATAGACTCTAATGCCATTTCTTCAAAGTATTCCATGTATATATTCGCCATTGCTGGTGATAATGGCGAGCCCATTGCTAAGCCCTCATCCTGTCGATATATGTGAGATCCCATTCCGAAGTGTGTTGTTTGTGTACAGAAAGTCAACATCTCCATCAGATTATCTATTGGAATACTGGTCCGCTCCTCTAGGGAAGAGTCTCCATCAGATTCCGTGGGTACCCTTGGTGAACAGACTCACCACGTCCAAGCTCACCATCTGGTTGATAGAATGGGAGCATCTTTGATTATTTCAGGGAAGTGGGCGGAGTTTCGGACAGAGACTTTCCGATCAATGGGTCAATTATATCTACAAGGGAAGCGACTCAGAGGGTGGCACACAGAGCCTTGGCAACTAACAATCGGCCTGTATAGACAGTTATCGAGCGTTACAGCAAGAAACGGTATTCCAACAGGATGTCTGATCGGGATATGTCTTGGTGACTTCGTGGAAATAATCAAAGATGCTCCCATTCTACAACCAGATGGTGATGGGACGTGGTGAGTCACTCAGTAGTCAGAGATAGATTAACCTCTGACTCTTCCTAGAGGAGCGGACCAGACTCATATATCGACAGGATGAGGGCTTAGCAATGGGCTCGCCATTATCACCAGCAATGGCGAATATATACATGGAATACTTTGAAGAAATGGCATTAGAGTCTATATCGCTAAAGCCAACTATATGGTTACGGTACGTAGATGACTTTTCATACTCTGGCCACATCAGGAAGAAGTCCAGGTTCTTCTGGACCATGAACTCAATAAGACCTTCTGATACAGTTCACAATGGAGAAAGAGAGTAACAACTCACTCCCATTCCTGGATGTACTAATATCTCGAACAGAGAATGGGTTCAAGACATCCGTATACCGTAAACCAACATTCACCGGACAGTACCTCAATTTCAACTCCCACCATCCATACAGCGTAAAGAAAGGGATCGTCCGATGCTTACAACATCGAGCAAAAGTCATAAGTGGCGATCCAGAGACGTTAGATAAGGAATTGGTCAGTATAAGTAGTACCCTACAACGCAACAACTACCCTGGGCATGGCAGCAGCCCCAAAACTGGGATAGGCGGGTACAAGAGGAGGAGGAGGAGGAGGACAACAACACTCAGAAAAACAGTCTGCCTGCCTTTATGTGAAGGGGTTATCAGAGAAAATACAAAAAGATCTGCGGTCCATATAACATCAGGACAACCTTCAAAAGCGTGACAACACTTCTGCAGGTATCTCTCACGAGTGAGACCCCCATAGAGAGGAACATGACTAAAGACTGTATACGCTATCCCATGCAGCTGCGGAAAGGAATATAAAGGAGAGACAGGCCGCCCCCTCAAGGTAAGGCTTCAAGAACACCAGAAAGCTGTAACGCGAGGGGAAGTAGAAAATCAGGCGTGGCTGACCACATATGGAGAGAGAAGGAGATCACCGCCCCCTGTGGGATCATGTTGAGATCATAGACAGGGAACACCATTGGAAAATTGTAAACTTAAGGAATCAGCACATATGCTAGGCCACAAAAATCTCCTGAGCCGACCAAGCATAGAAATAAATACAATATGGGAACCAGTAATAAGGAGTGCCAGAGAAAAGCAATGATAACAAAGTTGCAATATGAACTCTGGTAAAGACATGCAATGATAACAAAAAAATTGCAATATGAGCACTGGTAAAATGATGCTGAAAACATTAGGTTTATAATACTTTGAAGTTCATACCCAGATGTCCTCAATGACACATGGCACAGTGGATAAAGGCGTTGGTTAGATCCAGTGACAGACCCAAAGAAGGTGAGTTCAATTCTGGTTAAGGCAGTGGAGAAATTAGCAGGAGATAATTGATAACTGACATCCATCGAACATGGCACGGAATTAGAACAGTCTACCCCAGCGATCGAAATAAAGGGTTTAGTTCGAAATTCCAACCACCTGAAGTAGGCCGGAGCGTACAACGGCCGAAACGTTGTGACAAATATGGCGACAAAGATGAGGACAATAGTCCGACTAATGTAAATACGATACCATTCCCTAGTACTAAATAACATATGATACCATTCCCTAGCAGTAAATAATGTATGATACCATTGCCTACAAATAAATAACATATCATACCATTCCTTAGTACTAAATAATGTATGATACAATTCCTTAGAACTAAATAACATATGATACCATTTCTCAGTACTAAATAACATACGGTACCATTCCCTAACACTAAATAATATATGATACCATTCCCCACTACTAAATAACATATCATAACATTCCTTAGCACTAAATAATATATGTTACCATTCCCTAGAACTAAATAACATACCATACCATTCCCTAACAGATGAAAAAGAAAACTGACATCGCGTCTGTTGTTTGAAAAATACTGCCCAGGACAACGAATAAATTAAAGACTTACCGGCGAAAAGCACAGCACAACGTGAAGATTGTTACGAACGCGCGACAAATAAAAGTCATAGAGATTCTCGTTCGTTGGCGGGACGCGAGGCATTTCCTTTTTCATTATTGGAACAAGGTCTCCCAGAATCTCGTCCATCTCATCTCGAGCAAACAGATTAGCCACCTGCATTTAAACAAAAGAAACGATAAAACCCTATATACACACCTTCCACGATTTTTCTCGATTTTTCATGTATTTATAAACAATAATCCAAACATTGCTAACCAGACGCTTCTCTGTGGCTGAATGGTAACGGCACGTCAGACTATGTGAAGGTTTCCATGAAGGTTACAGGTTCGATTCCTGTCGGAAAAGCGCGTATTTTCTACGAAATTTCTCGATCATTCAGACCGGTAAATGTAATTAGTACTGTTTCATTAAAAACAGAGCATTTACTTAAATAAATTATGTATATAAGAATAGCGTATAAACAGAAAATATATTAAATAATTGTCGGACTTAATCCATTTCATTATATATATAATTAAATGTTTGAGTTGACTTATTTTAAATAGTTTGTTTATTTTTCTTCAAACTTGCATCACCAAACTTCACCAACTGACCACTTCCTCTGTTCATATTTGGCTTCTTGAGGTTTCCGAATTCTACGTAAATTAAAATCGCTGTTGAAATTGAAATTTCAGATCGTGGACGAGATTAATGAGAATGTGATGAAGCAATAAAAAAGATTATTTTCAGAGTGTTTTGCAAAATGGATGACATCTTAAGATAAGTGTATGAGGTCCCAAGAATAATACATTGACGAGGGCAAAGGCGCCATTGCCCTAAGTAGGCCTTTTTCGTTTTACTTGAATAAATGTGATTTCCACTGTTGTTCTGATTGTGCAAGGTACAATCTCTTTGGAAGGTTAAACTCTGACAGAGGAGAAGGGGGGTGCATATGTCGAAGGCAAGAGAGATAGTTGAAGGCAGAGTGCTTACCTGCCTGACCAGCTTTTGTAAATGGACGGCAGAACTGGGAGGAGGCTTAGCAAAGGGGAGAAATGTTGCTAAGGATCACGAGGTATAGGAGGTTGCGTGGAGCCATGAACAGCCAGGTCATGAACGGACACGACGCGTAAAAGGACAAGAAAATGAAGATTTATGCAATATAGGCGCCCTGCATTTACACTGTCATCCGACAAGTTACCATCTTTGACAACAGAAGAGGCAAAAAAAGGGGGAAAATGGGGTGACAACGTCATAGAGACACGGAAATTGGTACGCCACCCACACATATGGAATTGGGAAGCTGGTCAGGTTCTCAGCAATGCACAGGCCTTATAACAGCATCTGGTCATGGGACTGATGATAATGATGACGATGATGATGATTATGATGATGGACTGAAAGTTGTCGATAATAATAGTTTTTTAGTTTTCCGGTTGACCTATAATCTGGAATTTAGAATGAAAGCAGTGATAGCACATATCCTGAATCCATCATAAAAAATTCGGGATATGAAATTAGTAAATACTAAACTGATATGTCCCGGAAAGGGATATATTTGATCGAAGTAGCTAAGTGGGTTTGGCTACGGTAGCAGTAATCGACTGGAACTCGTCGTAGTCGCCGGTAATAGGTGTAGACCAATAGGATAGCCAATGGCGTAGTCCAATAGGCGTTGTCATAGACTTAATCTCTGTCGTACCTACACGTCCGTCTGTATTTATGACGGACACCAGCCAATCATATTCTAGTGAGGGGGAACACAGGTGTATGCATATTCCATTATATCATAAACACTTCAAATACCTGGGTGCATGAATAAGTTATAATAAATTTAGTGTAGGAGAAAAGGAAATTGAACATAGATTAGACTACGCTAAAGATAGTTTCATCTAATACAACAGATTCCTACAAAACTAAAACATTAATCCGAAAACATTGAATTATACTCTTAAATAGCCTCGTCAGATCGAAACTTTCATACGGATGTCATGCATGGTACCAAACCTGTTCAGAAATATCTAAAGTGTCAGCTGTATACAACCGCTTTCTAAGATCAATGGTTAAAAATAGCTTTGAGCTAGAAAAGCCTGAGTGTCTTGGCAAAGATCATCCGTCTTTGAACATTGTGGACTGGCGCTACAAAATCACAAACAAAGAACTGTACCAAATAATAAAAAAGCGCATCACTTGACGCATCACTTTACCAACAGCAACAACTAAAATTTGGGGAGGCACGGTGGAGTAATGGATAGCGGCTTGGATTGAGGAATCGGAGACCCGAGTTCGAATTCCAATCGAATCCATTACATGCTAACACCCTTGGGAAAGGTGTGAATCCTCTTTCTTCTCCCTCCAGCTGTGGGTAAATAGCAGGACAGACTGGGTCTGTCCTGCTATTTACCCACCTTGCCTTGGATGGCAACTGGTCTAGGAGAAGGACAACTCTGAATTCAAACCTGCTCTTAGGGGAGGATGAATGGAGTCTCTCTGAGCCTTGGTTGGCAATCCATTTAGTGATGGTGTCACGATAAAAAAAACGAAGCATCAAGAATTCAGCGATTTGACAAGATTATGAACTACACCAATCAATGTATTGGTGAGTTCAATCTTGGCTGAGGCCGCAAGATGACAACTAAAATGGACGTCACTCAAAAAGAAAATAATGACATAAGCAAAATGTTGATATCCCACACTACTTTAAACAAAAGTTTAGGAAGGTAACTAATATCAATACTGGAAAGATCAATAACAGCTACTGGACTTGAGAAACCGATATATATATATATATATATATATATATATATATATATATATATATATATATAAATTGTGGTACCCGTTTGGAAAAATCTCGGTTAGCTCAACTTGCAGTAGAACAAATCGGTACCCGAGGAAAAGTGGGGAATAAAAAAGAAAGAACCAAGAACATTAAAACAAAACAATCGTCCCGTGTTCAAGCTCCAAGTCTAAAGAAAAAAAATCCTAAAACGACTAAAAAGACAACTACCTAAAGTGCTCAATACACTAAGTAGAGCAAAACCTAAGATAATCCTAAGGAGCCAAGCAAACCTACCTAGGTTTCACCTAAACGGATCTTCAGGGTAAAGCTGGCCATAGAGCCAGCATTACCCTGAAGATCCGTTTAGTGAAACCTACGTAGGTTTGCCTGGCTCTTTAGGATTATATTATCTTATATATATATATATATATATATATATATATATATATATATATATATATATATATATATACTGACAACACTGCGACGCTTTTGTACCAGATTTCGACTTCGGCGATTTCTATGCAAAGGTGGAATTATGTTGCTTCTTTTTTACCGTATGGTTTTATTTATATGTCAGTAAAAAAAATGGACGTTTATTAAACTTCTACATTGAGACTATCAATTACACTGAATCCATAATAAAATGTGGAATTAGTAATTACTAAGCACTTCAAATACCTCGGCGTATGAATCAGTTATAACAAATTAAGTATAGGAGAAAAAGAAATTGAACATACGATAAGCTGCAACGGAGATAGTTTCACCCAATACAGCCAATTGCCACAAAACCAAAACATTAATCTGAAAACTTGAGCCATGTTCTTAAATAACGTCATCAGATGAAACTTTCATACGATGTCATGCATGGCGACAAACCTGTTCAGAAATGTCTAAACTCTCAGCTGTATACAACCGTTTTTGAAAATCAATGGTTCAAAATGGCTTTGAGCGAGTGAAGCCTGTGTGTTCTGACAAAGATCATCCTTATTTAAACATAGTGAATCACAAAGAACTATAACAAATAACAGAAACTACATCGAGGAATATTAACAGCAGCAAGAACTAAAATGGACATCACATGTAACTCAGAGAGAAAATAATGACATAATCACGATGTTAGCATTCCGCACTACTTTATGGAAAAGGTTGGGAAGGAAACCTCTATTAATACTGGAAAGAACGATAACAGCTACTGGTCTTGAGAAACATATTTCCCTTAAAAAAATTTACGAGAAAGATTTTATAAATTTCAACCGAAAGCAGTACTTGTTTCTCGGTCAGTGAATGTTTGAATGTTTCCTTATAAAGAAACCACTGGTATTACCATTTTCATTACAATTACAGATGTATTGATCGCTTATAAATTGATCGTATTAAAAGAGTTGTCGTGTGGTCAGTTGCCAGAAAACAGTGATTCTGAAATAATAATAATAATAATGTTGTAATGGAATGTCCCACACTCCCTATCCCCTATAAGGACTGACTATCTCAGTAGATAAATATATAGTGAGCACAGGCTATACCGTCTGGAATTAGTTGGAGATTCGTCTCCAGCTGTGCTGGTCGAACTCTATGCCCGAAGGCAGAGAGGAAGCCGGATGAGGCTAAGCTAAAGGGCAGAGTCTCGTCTGGGGTGATAGACAGCTACCCGACCCCGTGTATACGGGGTGTACACGGAAGTTTTGCCCGAGCCTACGGGCTCGGTTTTACCATGTATTGAATAACGGCCTTGTGCCACACCCTGCCTCGCGAAGAGGCAAGGTAAATAACCTTGCTTCGGGAATTATTAGCTTGCTACTCGATTTCCTGTCTTTCGGTATTCTCTTTTACAATAAACCTCTCTTCTTTCATCTACTCGCGTGTTGCTGTTCGTTCACTCGATTACCACCTTTGTCTGTTTCTAACCTCTTTAATGATACAACAAATAATAATAATATCTATTATAAGAATATGTTGCTATGCCACTTACAACTCCAGATGAGAGTACGTTATTGAGATATTCAAGAAATCCTTCATCCTTAATCTCTTGATCCGTGAAAAGGAAAGCAACGCCTTTGCCTTGCAGTCCGGCAGTTCGGTACAAAAGCTTCAAGTCTTCCAGAAGGTTATTCACATTGTAAGATCTGAAACACAAAAATTTGGAAATCAATTGATCATTAAATGAATGAGTAAAAATAAATAAAAATAAATGAAAAAAAAAAAAATAAATAAAAATTTTAAAAAATGAATAAAAATAAATAAATAAAATGGAAAAAATAGAAATAAAAATAAGGAAAATTAATAAATATAAATAAAGTAAATATTTTGTCAATGCACTTAATCCAGGTGAACATTTCAATTCAAAATTAGGAATATAACTATCATGCTCTGACTCAATTATCTATACACATTATATATATATATATATATATATATATATATATATACATATATTTTATATTTACATACATACATACATCTATATATATATACATATATATACATATATGTATACATACATATATATATATATATATATATTTATATTTACATATATATATATATATATATATATATATATATATATATATATCCGCGTAGGTGAAACCTGGGTAGGTTAGTCTGGTTCTTTAGGTTTTCTTACTTATGTTGCTCTACTTAGCGTATTGAGCACTTTGCTTAGTTATTTTTACTTTACTCGTGCCGGAGGTTTTTTTTTTCTCTGGACTCTGAACTTTCATTCTAGACGATTATTTTCGCCGGAAGAACATGTTCTTTCTTTTTTACTCTTTTTGTCCCTTGAGTATTAGTTTGTTCATTCACAAACTAAGACTCCTAAGGTTTTGCCGGACGAGTATAGCTGCTTACATTTATAAGTTTATTAGTGTTATATATATATATATATATATATATATATATATATATATATATGCTAGACTCTTTTGTCGTTCATCGACGTATGAGAATCGGGCAACTCAGTTCCTAGGAGCCGACTGCCAGACAACCTGCACATATGATTTGATTATAGTGTTGTTGGCTTTTTGCAACCGGCCACACTTTTTGAAGAGCCGAGTGCAGAGATCTGCTGCACCGTGTGTCCCCATGGGCCCCAAATGACCCTCAGCAGGCTTTGAATTCAATCCTTCGCCTAGTCCAGTTGTCATCCAAGGCTATAGAACACCAGTTTTTCCTGCTATTTACCCATAGCAGTGAAGAGAGGAAGAGGACTCATACCTCTCCTAAGGGTATTAGCACGTAAGTGAATGTAATAGATTCGATTGGAATACGGCGAATTTTTGGCCGAGCCTACTCCCTCGGATTTGTCCCACATTAAATTCTGTCATGTGACACATTCTACCTCGTGGGGAGGTCGATAAATATTACTGGCTACCTGAAGATTGTATGCAAACATATGAAACTTTAAGCCGTGGCCAATCATTGCGTAGCTGTTTATTGAATTCATATTCAAATGCTCTGACATTTTATGTCATAGAACTCTTTTATGCCAGAAGACTACTTTTGGTCAGACTCTATTTAGAGCTGCTTCTTCAAACCTTGAATATATATATATAAATATATATATATATATATATATAAGGTATGAATCCTTTTCCTCTCCCTCCAGCTATGGATAAAATAGCAGGACAGACTGGGTTCTATAGCCTTGGATGGCAACTGGTCTAGGAGAAGGACAACTCTGAATTCAAAACCTGCGGAGGGTCGTTTGGGAACCTTGTGGCACTCGGTGCACCAGGTCTCTATATTCGTCCCTTCAAAAAGTGTGGATGGTCCTGCACAAAACCTTCACCACTATAATCAAATCTCATGTGCTGCTGTCGGGCTGTCGGTTTCCTGGAAACTGATCTGCTTAAACCTCATACGTGGAATCTCGACGGGAGAGTCGATTATATATATATATATATATATATATATATATGACATTGGTTAAAGACGAAGAAATGTGTTTTTTTTTTTGTTTTTTCTTTTAGTCTATTTTTTTTTCTGTCAGGACAATTTTTTCTGGTTTCCCGGGAGAATTCTATATTTCTTTTGAGTACTTCTGCCTTTCATAAACCATTATCAAAGAATGTTTTTGGCATGCATTGTTCTTCTTGGATAGATTTCAAGTGTTGAGTCTTCACGAGTCAGCATTCAAAAGTCAATGAGTAATTTATGATTGAATTCTCCCCGGAAAACACAAATATAATCTGAACTCTAAATGAAATAAAATTAAATAAAGTGCTTTCGTTCGTCTTGAAATATAGCGAAGGAAACCAGTATTTCCTACTATCTAACATTTGTGATGTCAACGAATACTCGTTGTCATTATCGTAATGTTAGTTGCAGTAGAGACTTTGTAGATGCAGATACAACTATAGTAACGCCGTTGAACAATACAGGTGTCAGACGCCTTCGAATAACACTCGCACTAATAGTACTTGCTCGGAAATACTCGCTCGAAAATTAACCACCGAATAGCGATCCAAATAGAGAAATAGTATAGTGGATGAGTCGAGAATGGTGGTCTGTATAGTAATAGAGGATTGAATAGAAATAACGATCCGTATAGTATAGAGGATAGAACAGAAATAACGATCATTTAGACGTCACGCGACTTCCTATATATGCGTTTGCTCTATGGTCACGTGATCCACTTAATTCAATAATGAGATCGCCCGCGTTTGCTCACCAGCGTTCTATGTTCAAATTCAACTGTCGGCAAGGACACTATATTCCTATATAGCACTAACCATGTACAATTTTTAAAACGATATATTTTTCATAGTTTTTGTCCCTTTTGAATGATTTTATTTCTTCAATAGGTGAAGAAGAAGAAATTTTCGGCTTTTCAGTCACTGTGTGTGTGAACAGCTTAATTATTGAAACCAGGCCTTTACCTTTGGACGAGTATCTACATATTTCTACAACGTTTCGACAGGTTTACCCTCTGTTCTTCTTCAGCTGTTTTCTTGTAGCCTTTTATTCACTACATAATATAAATTATGAACATTATCAAATGTTGAAATATTTTTTGTTGATCGAAAAGAAATCGGATTTGAAAACGCTACAAATATATTGAACGCCTCTACAATGTTAAAGAGAAAATTAATGTGTGCTTATCTGATCGTGAGGGTGCCCACGTGTGACACTTTTAATGGAGTGCACAGATATTAGGATTCTAGGCAGGGTCTAAGGAAATGAAATTTTGACCTTAGACATAGAGTACGCAATCTCTGATATTAATGCTGTCTCGTAAGTAAATTATTCCGACATTTTTGACGGGTACTATACTAGTGCTCTTTCATAATATTTATAGTAAATGTGCAGTCGAAATCATGTTACGGTGGCGGGAAAGTGACTGAAGCTGAGATGCCAGATCAAGACCGATAACATTGCAGATTCTTCTTTGGCTTTTGTCAAGAAACTCTAGATACATAGCAGTAGCACCAGACCAGACGTTGCAGCGATATTTTATGATTTTCTTCTTCTCGTTTTTCTTCACCTTCTTGTTCTTCTCACCCTTTTCTTTTACTGCATCTTCTTCTTCTTCTTCTTCTTCCAGTATTTTTCTTCTTCATTTTCTTCTACCTCTTCTTGCTTTTCTTTTTCTCGTCTTTTTCTTCTTCATCTTCTTCTCATTTTTTCTTTACCTTCTTTTTCTTCTTTTTTCTTTTCGCTTTTTCTTCTACTGCTTCTCCTTCTTTTTCATCTTCCTCTTCTTTTAGTCTTTTTCTTCTTCATCTTCTCCTACCTCTTCTTTCTCTTCTTTTTCTCGTCTTTTTCTTCTTCACATCTTTTTTCTTCTTCTTCTTCTTCTTTTTCTTCTTCTTCTCATTTTTTCTTCACCTTTTTCTTCTTTTTCTTCTCGCCTTTTTCTTGAACAGCTTCTTCTTCTTCTTCTTCTCGTCTTCTTCTTCAAGTCTTTTTCTTCTTCATTTCTTCTACCTCTTCTTTCTCGTTTTTTCTTCTTCTCGTCTTTATTATTTTCTTCTTCTCGTTTTCTTCTTCATCTTCTCCTCCTCAATTTTTCTTCTCGTTCTTTTTCTTCTTTTTCTTCCCGCCTTTTTCTTGTACTGCTTCTTCGTCTTCTTCCTCTTCCTCTTCTCGTCTTCTTCTTCTAGTCTTTTTCTTCTTCGTCTTCTTCTACCTCTTTTTCTTAGTCTATTGTTCTTTGTTAGGCGTGGACATTCTCCAGATTCATGTCAAGGAATAGAGCATTACTCCCACCGCCCTGGTCCAACACGTGCCCCTAAGAGGTGGGTTGTGACACGCTTGGACCATCATGTCGCTTTTCGATTCATGTTCATCCAAGGATATTTGCGCAAGTGAATGTAACGTCCAGAATTCGAACTCGGCTCTCCGATTTATCATCCCGAGCCGTTATCTATCACACCCGCGCATCCAAGCTTAGAGCACCTGGTATTCCCAAGTGGTCACCCATCCCAGGCTCGACATTGCTTAACTTCGGTGATCGGACAAGAGAACCAGTCTTTCAAGATGATATGACCGTAAGCCTATTTGATTTTCCCTATGTATAATTTCAGGCATTCAGATGAGAGGAAGTATGATACCTGGTTAATGTAATCTGAAATGTTTCGTAACCGGCGATAAACGACGCCAGTCTGGTGAGCGATTGCTTGCCGGATCCGCCGACGCCGACGAGGAGAGCGTTGCCGCGAGGCGTTCTGATGACCCTTGAAATCTTCACAAGATGGATCATAGCGTCCTGGAAAAAGACTAAATCCATGCCGGCGCCACGGACGCTTTCGTTGTACATTTGCAAATAGAACAGCAGACGTTCTTGCAGCTGTTGAAAGGATTCAATCTGCAAAATGAAATTGGAGAGAAGAAAAAAAAATGAGGCACAGTTAAAAATATCACTAAACAAATATTACAGACTCAAAAATTTTATTGACATCATCCCTCTCCCATCATCCAACTTTAGCCGTTTGTTAGTTCTATTTATTCAGTAATTTTCTTTTATTATTTTAATGCTATCGTTATAGACGGGAAACGTGGAATCGGGGAGCAAGATCAAGTTCCGACTTAGTCTGTACCGTTCACTTTCTCATAAATGTCCCCGAGAAAGGCATGGATCTATCGCTACTTCACCCAAATTGCAGCTAAAAGTTAAATATCCAGGGCTGTCTGACCCCAAGTGGCAGACATTCTAGAAGAATGATTAATCTGAATTCAAATCTGCGGAGGCAACAACGGGAATTCAATCCACTATATTTTCCAAGGAGACATGGCAATTCATAGATCAGAAAAGAAAGAAATCTACAGCGAGCCATGAGCCCCTAAGTCATGGATCGTTGCATTAAAAATGTCATAGGGTCACTTCTTTAAACAGTACTCTATTATGGCATGAACTATATTGTTCAATAATTACAGTAATGTCGCACTTATTAACCAAAAGTCGCACATGGATCAGTTATTTAAATTACAATAAACGTGCAATCAATTTACAAATACATGAATTATTCACACAAAACTAATGCAAAGGTTAATGATTTAAATAGCATTTCGGATACAATACACATATATTTTCGATGTCCTCTTATTACTAAGAGAAAAAAACAAGAACAACATCTATTATATACCTGAAGATGTCTGTAGGAACAGACGAAAGCTTGTAGTAAAAATAACAACTAATACGGCAGAAATTTATATAAACAAGGATCAATTCATTCATAACGGATCTGGAGGTTTTTGTGTACTATTTGAATTGTTTGCGAGATGGATGTCTCGCCATTTAAATCATTAACCTTTGCATTAGTTTTGTGTGAATAATTCATGTATTTGTAAATTGATTGCACGTTTATTGTAATATATATATATATATATATATATATATATATATATATTATAATTGTTTTCTATTTTAAAAATATGGTTCAATCGTTACACAGGAATTACCACGTTTCAAAACAGAAACTAAAAATTTTAAATTTAATTATTAAATTAAATTCAAAATGCATAGCTCCGTTCCATTTTCAAAACATGGTAATTCCTGTGTAGCGATGGAACCATATTTTTAAAATAGAAAATAATTACAATATTTTGCTCTACTGTTTTGCATCGTGCACTGTTTTTTAAAAATAAAAATAATTACTAGGAACACCAGATTGTAAATCTTATTGTTCTTTCTTAGGATTTTAATTATTATTTTAATATATATATATATATATATATATATATATATATATATATATATATATATATCGGGTGTAAAACCAAAATTGACGAAATCGTTTAACAGCATAATTGTCTATCAAAATCTTTAATATCTAAAGAGAAAATGTAAACTAATTGAGTATCTTTTTTCCAGATAAGACTTTTAGCCATCTTGATTGCATTTGACGTAAGAATCACTGAAAAAACTCTTTGAGTTATTCAACTAGAAAGAGAACAGATTGAAATCATTTTGTGTCATCCCCACTATGTCTTTTCAACTGAGAGAGGAAAAAAATCATTCAGGCCTTCAGTAATGGTACCAATATTCATAATCTGGCTTCCATCTTCAGATTCCGTTCAAGAACCATCAAGAGAACGGTGAATAAGTTTTAAAAAAAAGGGGAACAATAGAGCGGAAATCTGTAGCAGGAGGTCACAGCAGGAATAGGGATCATCATTTCAAGTTAGAGCTAAATGCATTCTCATTGCTCAAAGTAGAGTCTAATAGTGTTATAAAAACCTAGGAGAATTCCAGTAAGATATATTTAATCATTTTTAAGATACAACAGTCCAAAGCTTCATCTAACAATTGGACAATTTTGCTGTTACACGATTTGGACAATTTTGCTGTTACACGCTGTATATATATATATATATATATATATATATATATATATATATATATATATATTACTTCAAACTTTATATTTAGTTTATAGCTGTATTTCAGTAGATGAAGTGCTTCCTAATCAAGTAAAGTTGTATTTGCTTTTAAAGAAAAGTTTCAGATTTTCTCTTTAAAGGACAATAGAACCTTACTTCTTCGTGAAGCTCTACGTAGCCGAGCACTCAAAACACACAGAATCACTCGATGGTTTCTCCTGCAAAAGGGGTGTAGGCGCAGGTTAGAATCCTGCCAGAGGGTAGATTTTCTTTAATAAGTTTTCTCGGATGGACAAGACTGGTAGACGAGATAAAGACTGCTTAAAATAAAATAGGACCTCCTCTCAAATACGGGTTTCATATAGCATAAAGTTCATTAAATATTACTACATATAATATCTATTCATACGATATACATCACAAATGTTCAGAAAATTTGACCATAGTAATACAATGGATAGCCTCGTATTCCCCTCCTACCCTCGCAACCCTCTGTGTGTGTGTGTGTGTGTGTGTGTGTGTGTGTGTGTGTGTGTGTGTGTGTGTGTGTGTATTGCGAGGTTAGCTTATGTGTGTAGATCCTTAGTTCAATCGGGTTGACTTCCATGTTGATGTTGGTGCACCCACCGACAACTGTCGAGACCCGTGTCTGCACTTGGTGGCTTCGAGGTTACCTTTTAAGCCAACCCTTGGGGTTACTAGATCTTTTGATTTTCTGAGGTGATGCCGAGTACAAATCTTACTTAGTCATCACTTTTGGTATATCCAGTATATCTTGGGGTCACCACAGATCAAGTCCTCTTAGATCAAAGTTACTGATGAGCCTTAAATTCGATTGATTTCCTGGAATTTCATTTAAATCAAATACTAGAAGTGTGATAAGATTGATCCTCCCTAAGTGTCTCATTTATGTCTCTTTGTGTTGAAGTAGATTAAGCATATCTGTAGAATCATATATAAGAAGCTTATTAGGAAGCGTGTTTCTAGAGTAATCATATTAATCCTCACTGAGAGCCTAATTGGTTTGTCCTTGTTGCATTGTCCCGACATATTCTGTGGCTCGAACTGGTGTTGGCCGACGTATGGTCGTTGCTTTGCGACCATCTTTTCATCAATAATAAATGGCACAATGCAATAGGGATTGTATCGACAAATTTTATTGTCTCCAGCAGGGAAATGTTGCCGACTACTTATCAGTGATGAATATGGTACAGTGAATGAAGAATTTCCCTACACCCATCCGCTCGCCCCTAAGCCAAAAAAACCACCGAAGAATCTTGGAGAAGGGAAACTCCTTTTTTGGTTGGCTGCTGCTTAGTCAGTCCACGAACCAATGAAAAGATTCCGCCACAACCTGCATCTTTTCCTTCCCACCCACTTTGCGGATGTGTGACCGTCAACAGACACTGTCAAAATTACCGTATTTCAGAAATGCGATACATTTTCAACGACGTGTTGGACTGTTTTTAATTAGATCACTTTTCTTCTTAATCTTAAATTAATCTCTTTTATTCTATACCCACAAAGTCAGGATTAAACAAATAATACGCACATACCGTAGAGAGCTGCTTAAGAAACGGATCATCAGAAGATTTGCTTCTGCAATAAATTTGCTCCTCAGTGAAACAGTTTTTGAAACATTCCCTCCCAAGCAAGTCAATAAAGCCACTAAAACGCAAGGGGTTACTGAGGAAAATTGATAACACATTGAAGCTAATAAGAAGAACAGGGTTCAAGGAGACGGAAGATGACAATTGAAGTTTGCATTTAAATTTTTGTCGGTTGTAAAAATCAAGAAACTGGAAGAGACATTATTTACATTATTCGGACTATTGTCCTCATCTTTGTCTGCATATTTATTACAACGTTTCGGTCGTTGTACGGTCCGGCCTTCTTCAGGTGGTTGGAATGTCGAACTGAACCCTTTATTTCGCTCACGGGGTTAAACTATTCTAGTTCCACGTGCCATGTCTAATGGATGTCAGTTACCAGTTATTTCCTGCTTAATTCCCTCTCCAAGTTCACCACCGCCTTAACCAGATACTGAACTCACACTCTTTGGATCCTGTCACTGGATCTAACTAACGCCTTTATCTACTGTGCCATGAGGACATCTGTGTATGAGTTTCTGGGTATTATAAACCTAAAGTCTTCAGTAACCATTTTTTACCAGTGCTCATATAGCAATTTTTGCTGTTATCATTGTATGTTTTTACCATAATTCATATTGCAATTTTTTGTTGTTATTATCGCTTTTCTCTGATATTCCTTATTACTGGTTCCCATATTGTATTCATTTCTATGTTTGGTCGGCTCAGGAGCGTACAACAGCCGATACGACAAAGATGACGACAATAGTCTGAATAATGTAAATAGTGTACATAATACCTCATCTCAGAAATATAGACAGATACTGAAAGGCCGAAACGTTGTAATAAATATGGCGACAAAGATGAGGACAATAGTCCGAATAATGCAAATAGTGTACATAATACCTCATCTCAGAAATATAGACCGATACTGAAAGGCCGAAACGTTGTAATAAATATGGCGACAAAGATGAGGACAATAGTTCGAATAATGCAAATAGTGTACATAATACCTCATCTCAGAAATATAGACCGATACTGAAAGGCCGAAATGTTGTAATAAATATGGCGACAAAGATGAGGACAATAGTCCGAATAATGCAAATAGTGTACATAATACCTCATCTCAGAAATATAGACAGAAACTGAAAGGCCGAAACGTTGTAATAAATATGGCGACAAAGATGAAAACAATAGTCCGAATAATGCAAATAGTGTACATAATACCTCATCTCAGAAATATAGACAGATACTGAAAGGCCGAAACGTTGTAATAAATATGACGACAAAGATGAGGACAATAGTCCGAATAATGCAAATAGTGTACATAATAGCTCATCTCAGAAATATAGACAGTAACTGGAAGAGATTTTTACAGGTTAAATGTAAGAGAGAGAAATATACCGCTATGGAAAGAGGACAATAAAAGAATAATGATTAAGAAATTAGATGATAACAACTGATATTGCATTTAAATCTTTGAACATCAGAGTTGACTGAAAAGCAAGAGGCCAGTAGAGAGTTCTATAACCTGTTAGCATAGAACTTGCGGTTACATCTCGCCATTTCAACTGCAAAATAATGAGACCTTGCTGCCAATCTAGTACTGCGCTTAAATTCATATAATCTAAGTATATCCTTGTAACAAACTGTTTTAAGGTTATTATATCTCTAAAGGTTTATTTCAAATATTTTTAATGGAAAGATTTGTGACAATGAGGCAGAAAATCATACTTACTGGTTCGTATATCTTTGGAGTATCGAAATCAGCATCGTCAGGTTCTTCACCCGTTGCTTCTGGCGGATCTCTGAGGACAAAATAATTAAAATATTATCAATCTTTTGTCTACAGGAGTTGAGTTTATAATTTACTTGATGAGATAAAGTCATATTTCAAATCATGAGCTGGCAAGAATACAAACGCGAAACTGCCTAATTTTTGACATTGTACTTTCTTTTCTTGAAAACAAGCAACGATGGTCGAAAGTTTTCGGAACATATGGCATAATTTCAGCAAATTCTCTATTTTCTGACGACAAATATGTGGTTCGGAAAATAATGTCCGGTTTTAGAATCAACTTTTTTTCCTGAGTTAATATATTTAAACAGTGTTTAAATCAGTCAATATAAGAACCCTGACCATTTATATATTTCTGCGTCGAGTTAAAACGTAATTTATGAGTTTAGAATAAAACTCTAAAGGTCTTGACGCCAAGGAGTATTTGAATGGATTTTCTGTATCTTTGCAACATGATATCTTTTGGCTTAAAATTGTCAAGATGCTTGAAAAATTGTTAGTCTGGGGAGTATAGTAAATATTGCAAAGTCTCGTATCCCAAGTCGGTGGGGTTCTGTAATGTCATCCTGGCAACATCTGACCGAAGATTGTTATGAAGCAGAATTGGACCTCGTCGATTAACAAGTTTTATTCCTGAATTGATGTATTCAAACAATGTTTAAATCAGTCAATGTAGGAATCCTGAACATCGAGTTACAATGTTATTTATGCCTTTACAATGAAACTGTAAAAGGTTTGGATGCCAGGAAACATTTGAATGTCGTTTCTTCATCTTTGGCTTAAAAAAATATTGTCAAAATGATTAAAAAGGTCATAGTCAGTGAGCGATATATCAGGGGAACATGGTGGATATTGCAAAGTCTCGTATCCCAAGTCAGTAAGCTTCTATAGTGTCATCCTGGCAACATGTGACCGAGCATTGTCTTGAAGCAGAATTGGACCTCGTTGATTAGCCAGTGCCTTTCGTATTTTGCTTACCTGAATGTGCATTTCACCCAGTTGCTGGCGGAAAACTTCGGCAGTGATCCACTGGTTAAATTCCTGAAAGCTCGAAAGGATAATGCAAATGGCGGACCACCAGATAGTCAACAAAATCTTTTGTTAGTGCAATTTCGATTTTGGAATGTGTTTGGTTCCTTCTTTATGAGCAAAACATTAAGCCGAACGTTTGCGATTGTCACAAAGAATCCATTTCCCGTCAAAAGCCACGATTCCATCAAGAAATGGATCATTCGAATTTCGCAGTGTCAGCATTCAACACACTTCAAAACGTCGAACTTTTCACTGAATTCATATGGAACCCATTTATCGAGTTTCTTCATCTTGCCTATTTTTTTGAGATGGTCCGATGTTATTTAAAATTCCGAGAACCGTTATCTGAGACATTTTTACGAAACTTTATATTTTGATATTTTTCGACTGGTGTTTTCAGATGTTGATTACGAGTTGAAGTTGGACTTCCTCTGCCACCATGATCCCCACTCGTATCCACACTGCGGAACTTCAGAAACCAGCGCCGTCATATCCGATCACAGGTGAATTGTTCACCCCATGCTTAGTTAATGTTGACAGCCGTTTGAGAAGCATTAGAGCTAAGTTTGAACTCATGCCAAAATAGTAACATCATCTGTTCTATTTAAAATATTAAAGAAGGGTTTATCTTTTTTTTTTAAGTTGAATTTCGAAAGAGATGAATATAAAACAAAGAGAACACATTAGGAATGAGTAATATGTGCTTGTGAAACTATTGTAAGAATACATTAGTATCCGATTAAAAGGTTTATTCTAGAATCGGACATTGTTTTCTGGGCAACCTAATAACTCCTGGTCTCTTTTAAATCAAACATGTTTGGATGAATACTTAAACAATAAAAGTATGGGTTTTTGTTTCCCATGTCGATAATGTTTTCATAATAGAGAAGACAAATTGAATAAACTAAACAATGTGTATAATACTTAGTCATTGCCGACGCGTTTAGTCATTTGATTTTATCAAGGATAAACAAAATTGAAATGAAATTGGAAATTCCCTCTCAAAAAGAGACTAATATACAATAAGAGGCTTATAGAGGATTTTTTTCCTTTCGTGTAACGACACATGTCTTGTTTATTCAATTTATCTTCTCTACAGATCTATTCTGAGAACTTTAACACGCACACAAAAAATATATATAATATATATATATATATATATATATATATATATATATGTATAGATAGATAGATAGATGTGTGTGTGTGTGTGTGAATATAAAAGTGGATATTGATGTCTTCACCCAGTCTTTTTCATGCTAGACAAAATATTCGTGGCCTATCTCTCTCTCTCTCCCCCTCTCTCTCTCTCTCTCTCTCTCTCTCTCTCCATATATATATATATATATATATATATATATATGTGTGTGTGTGTGTGTGTGTGAACGAAGGTTGAAAACCACTGGCTATTTCATATTATATTTTTCTTATATGCGCTCAAAGCGATATTTTTGGAGGTCTTGTCCAAGTGTCGGTCACATCAGAATATGCGCATTCTCTCACGGAAACTGTAGCCAAAATCTGCTCAGCACAATTTACAGTATGAAACACATGTTAAATAAACAGGAAAGTGTCTGAGCTGGCGTCTGCAGCAGGGATTAGCTAGCCACCCAATCTAATAATCCCTAGTGTGCCATTTTTTTTTTTAGATTGCATATTTTATTGTATAAATATATATCTATTGTTTATTTATTCTCTTCATCATCGTTATCAGTCGGGTAACCGAGTGTGGTTTTAAGCTCATTGCATAGCCAAGCATCTAGCCGGCTCCTTCCACATGCCTCGCTAGGTATTCGTTCACGCATAGCGTATCTTGGGGAAAGTAAAGCCCATCCGTCTCCAAGTCAATTCCGACTTCTTTCTACGGATTTTTACATATTTTGGTTGTTTATTCTTCCTGATTAAAGTGTGCACAACTATGATTTCAGTCATTGCTCTTCTACTGAATAAACATTCATAATATAGTGTGTGTTGGGGGGAGGGTATGTGCGTCTAGGATTTGGCAGAGCGGGACATTAAGAAAAACTGTCGTTTTAATGAGAAATTAATAGTTTAACGACATGACAAAGCAAATACGATGACAAAGAAATAAATTCGTTTTAACAAATGTCGTTACGCACCTATACTCCATTATTTTATTTTTAGATGTAAAAATGTTGTATATCTCAGTGCGCCCATTTCGCTGTAGAATGTGGAACAAGATCAGTTTCAAGTGGGTTTAATTGTAATACCGCGGAAAAAACTGTTCAAGCTTCCTCGGCACATCCCCTTTTGGGGTCGCCTCAGATATCCTGCAATAAACCCATCTCGCAGATATACAGCCTGTGGGTGTGGCTGGCCTCCTAGGGCTTATTTTGTTTAACTTTCCCATAACATAGAAGTATTTTAGATATAAAGATACTTGATTAAAAGCATGTTTATATAGATCAATGCGTCGTTTATAAATCGACAGGGAAATCCCAGACATTTTTATTTAGACTTTTCATCTTTTTATTTTATATTATCGAGACTTGTTTTTTAAAAAAAATCTAATTCACCCCGAGAAAGGCAGTAAAGCCACTAAGACAAAAGGTGGTTACTGGGTGTGGAAAAATTAGAAAACATAAAACATTATGAAGGAGAGAGAAGAATAGAGATGTAACCAGGAAAAAGTAGATAGCGAATGACGTTGTATTTAAATTTTTGTAGATTAAAGTCGACTGAAAAGCATGCAGAAGTACGAGAGAAGAAACTGTAAGCATAGAACTTACGGTTATATCAAGCCAATTCAACTGTGAACTGATGAGACCTCACCGACACTCTAGTACAGCGCTTAAATTCCTAAAGTTTAGGTACCATAGCAAAGATCACTTTCGAACAATTACCATGCTTTGTATTGTAGCAAATGGGGCGAAGTTGGAATATGGCTTACTTACAACAAACGAGAAAACAAATAAGCAACAATCAAACCAATAAACTGCGACAAAGATTCAACACTCTATGTGCTAATAGCAAGTAGAAATATGTTGGAAGATCAGATCGAATATATAGCTATCCAATACCAAACTGAAAGCCTCGGTTTAAAATTTGCTACCGGTTGACACAATACCTAAGATAACAGAGACGGAAGACATCAAAGACTCCATTCAAAGAATAATCACTGCCACTAAAGAAAGCAATAATGAAGGAATTTTATTACAGTGGCACTTAAATAGACTAAGGAAACTAGCAAAAAATAAGGAAATCCCTCAGGCAAGGATGGTGGGATTGTTATCATGAATAAGAACACAGCTCAATGATACCGACATATATGAAAAAAATTTTTTGTTTTTTTGCGAATTTTTATCAAGTAAAATTGTGGACGCTGTACAGTTTCCTCACAAAGAAGAGACTTCAGGCATCAGAATGCTTAGACGGGACATGTGAGCAACGTGGAAGTTTAGACGAAAATGGAAACAAAAAGACACGTATATTTACAAACAGAAAGAGAGTTTTGAAATTTCTAGAACCCACAATGAAGAAAGAAGATTAACATTAACTTGTATAAAGGACTATAGGGGCCAAACATTGCTTATAGCTACACAGAATGGAGAAAGGAGAAAATCTTTTCCTTTTGTTTTTTAATCGAGTTCGCCACAAGAAAGGCAGTAAAGCCGCTAAGACAAAAGGAGGTTAAAGGGTTTGGAAGAATTAGAAAACAGAAAACATTATGAAGGAGAGATAAGAATAGAGGTGTAATCAGGACAGTAGATAAAGACTGACATTGCATTTCATATTTTGAAGATTAAAGTTAACTGGAAATCATGGAACTGGAAGATTTAAGTACGAGAAAAGAAAGTGTTAGCATAGAACTTACGGTTACATCAAGCCAATTCAGCTGTGAACTGATGAGACCTTACCGCCACTCTAGTACAGCGCTTAAATTCCTAAAGTTTAGGTACCGTAGCATTTTTCTAACAATTAAAATGCTTTGTATTGTAACAAATGGGGCGAACTTAGAAATGGCTTACTTAAAACAAACGATGAAACAAATAAAGCAACAATCAAATTACAGTTCCATATTTTTGTTTTCTTTCAAAATGTTTTTATTCTTGTTGTTGATTGTCATTCACACGTACACACACACACACACACACACACTCACACACACAGGTTCCTTAATTTTTTTCGCTATTTTTTCTTTTTTTGTTTCTTCCAAAATCACTTCCTTCATTCATTCTTACTCAATTTCCTTCAGTTTTTTTACAATCTCATTTCTTCGTTTCTTTGCTTTTTCACTGTTTTCTTTCAAAACCTTTTTTTTTCTTCCTGTTTTTTTTTCTCTATCTTCTCTCACTCTCACAAAAATGCACACACACACACGCATGCGCAGAGGTATACTTTTAGATTTTACATTTTTTTCCGTCATAATTTTTTTGTTGTTCGTTCTTTTCATTCATCCAGGTTCTCTCTCTAACTCTCTCTCTCTCTCTCTCTCTCTCTCTCTCTCTCTCTCTCTCTCTCTCTCTCTCTCTCTCTCTCTCTCCCATGCACTCGCTCCCGGATCCCCGTTCCCTGCATGCATAGAAATTTTATCAGTTTTATACTTCCTTAATTTTTTAGTGAGGGGCTGCGATGGGATCACCTTTTTCTTAGATAATATTTTGCTTCTCCTTTCAAACTTTATTATCATACTCTCTCTCTCTTTCTCTCACTCTGCCTCTCTCTCTCTCTCTCTCTCTCTCTCTCTCTCTCTCTCTCTCTCAAACACACACACAGACGTTCTTTTCTTAATTTCTTTAGATTTTCATTGTTTTCTTGCTCAAATCGTTTTTCTTCTTCTTTCTCTGAGTCTCTTATTCTCTCTCTCTCTCTCTCTCTCTCGCACACACACACACACACACACACATACACAAATCTTCAGTTCATTTAATCTTTTTCCTTCTTATTTAAGTATATATATATATTTTGTTTTTTAAGCGTTTCACCCCAAGCAAGGCGGGAAGCCACTAGGACGCAAGGGGTTGCAGAAGATTTGGAGCAAGATCAGATAGGAGTGATAGAGGAAAGGATGACGAGAAGGATAGTGGATAGATCGAGGCAACTGGAGATGTCGATTGACATTACATTTGAATAGTTGGAGATTATAGCTCTCAGGGAAACAGGAACAGGGAAGGGAGTTCCACAAGAGAAGAAGAGACGGCTACATTTAGGAGTTTCGACAGTGAATGGGTGAGAGCGGGATGCCAGCCTCGTAGGTATATGTATATACATATATATATATACACACACACGTTTATGTATTTATTCTCATTTATTTATTTATTCTTATTTATTTAATCTTTTTTCTTCTTCCTTCATCTTTCATTTCTGGTTCTTTCTCTCTCTCTCTCTATCTCTATCTATCTATCTATCTATCTATCTCTCAAACACACACAAAACACATACACATACACACAGAGACGTTCTTTTTCTTAATTTCTTTAGATTTTGATTGTTTTCTTTCTCAAATCACATTTTTCTTCTTCTTTCATCTCTGATTCTCTCTCTCTCTCTCTCTCTCTTACACACACACACATGCACATTTCTTCAGTTAATTTAATCTTTTTTCTTCTTATTTAATCATATATATATATATATATATACTTATTTATTTATTCTTATTTAATTTTATTTCTTCTTCCTTCATCTCTGATTCTTTCTCTCTCTCTCTTTCACGCACACACACACACACACACGCGCGCGCGCGCACGCGCACACATAGCACATTTCTTTACTTCCTCTTTATTCCATTTTTTAATTTTTTTCATCCTTTTCTTTCAAACCTTTTCTTCTTCATTCATCCTCAGTCTCGATCATTTTATCTCCACCTCATTTTTCATAATTTCGTTTTTCGCTTCTGCCACTTATTTTTCATTATAAAGCATCCATTTTTTTTCATTTTTGCTTTCGTTTTAATCTTTACTTACCATATTTTCATCAACATAACAACATCTACTTACCATCTTAAAGAAAGAATCATGTTATAAGACAAAAATACATTATTTTTTTTCCTTCAAATCCACTGATGTAAACCAATTTTATTTCCAGATACCTGAGGAAGTCCAAAAAATACAACTCAGGCAGGGGTGTTGATACGCTGACGTCGGCCAGTTCCTCGCTGACAATACGATGCATTGTTTTATAAAACCATTGAATATCTGCAGATTCCACAAATCTGTATAGGTTATCATAAAAAAACGATTCACACAGAGTGCTGGCAAACAATTGCAAACAAGGTGATTAATGCGCAAAAATAATGACATATATATATATATATATATATATATATATATATATATATATATATATATATAGCAACCTTACTTTTATACATGTTTCACTGAATGGGACAGACAAGGGTTTTTTTTTATTAAGTTTTGTAATGTTCTGTTTTTTTTTCATTTTTGGAGGGGCTACTGGATCGCAGAAATTTCGAGCGTAATGATTATTATCTCAAGTGCATTCGGCCAGTTCATTAACCATTTTAAAGAGATTAACAACAGCAGTAATGTGTTAGTGGTCATTTAAAAAGACGACCCCAAGCGGACTCAAGGCCGCATCTCACCGTGAGGCCTAGGGTTATCAGTATTTCTCTATAATACAACTTAGAGCAGTGGTCGGCAACATTTTTGCTATATGTTGACCTAGGGTTTAAAATCATTCAATGTGCCAACAGCATACGTATTTTTATACAAGTCAAGGTCAATATACAGTGCTGTTCGATAAAAGTGACTCACCTGATTTTTTTACTTAAAAATTTTTTCGCCTATTGTTTTTGGGGTCAAAATAATTTTTAATCTTACTAATATAAAAACCCCTTCTCGACCACCTAGTAAAAAAGTTTACTCACCCTAAGGTATTCTATTGATAATTATAATTTTGGATATAAATGAGATTTAGGGAAAAACTGTGCAAAAAAAGTGACTCACTTATTTCCTGCAACTAGTAATCAATAGAAACATAACCGAACAGATTTAAATAAAGAATAATAGAGGTACAATTTATTTATAATAGGTAATAATAGTTCTGGAAAATTTCATCTAAAATTCTCTTGTACTGCTCGCTCCTGGGGGTCTTTTCAATAGGTTTTAAGAAACCATTTCCATGAAAAGAAAAGCATCCCCAGAACATTATACTGAACGGATGCGTGACAGTACTTACTGCTAAATTCAAAGAGCTTTCAAAGCTTCTTCTTCGGATTTTAGATCGCTTATCCTTTGAATTTAGCTCAACTTTCGTTTCATCGGAGAAAAGAACATTTAGTAAAAAAAAATCAGGTAAGTCACTTTTATCGAACAGCACTGTACATATTCTAAAATATATTTTTTATGGTAATATATAGTATATATAGTTGAGTATATATTAAAATTGAAACAGATAAATATCTTTTTTGCGTTGTAGTAGTTATTGGTTCGGACTTCGTGGGGTCATTTGCGGCTGCGTGCCATTGGAAATTGCTTGGCGTGCCACACGGGGCACGCGTACCGTCGGTTGCCGACCCCCGCCTTAGAACACAAACCACGAAGAACATACTAACAATAACCCCCCTTGCAAATGGTTAAAGAATTTTGCCGAAAACGCTTGGAACAATAATCATTACCGGCAGTTTCTGTGCTCTCTCAGTCCATACACAAAGAAAACTAAGAATATTAGATAAACACTTACGAGATTTTCAATGTCTGTCACATTCAATGAAATATATATATATATATATATATATATATATATATATATATATATATATATATATATATATCAATGCTTGGACGTCTATTTTGTTACCCTTTGCTATATTACAATACTTTTCACACTTTCATTTTTTTTTGTGGGGAAGGAGTTCTATTAGAAAGTATATATTGATTTTTTTTTAAATATTATCACAAACTGATACACTCTCTACTAACATTTACTATTATATCAAAATAGAAATGTTTATCTTATAATTTTCTACTTTTCTGGACATAAATTATCCGAATGTTCTGTTATATCCGACATCTTTCGACTATATATTCAACCATTATAATTGATGGTTTTATTTGTAGTTTTAACTGAAAATTATGGATTGTTTTATATATGTACCTAGAGTAATGTTCTGCTTTCTAAACACGGTCAACACATTGTGGCCGTGTTCAAAGTTGATTTTATTGAGTGTTTTTTTTTTCTTTTATTACTAATGCTTCTATTATTTTTAACCGTTTTGACATTTGTATTATCAACGATTATGTCACGGATAAAGTTTGGTAGGCCCCTATATCAATCTAAATAAGACCTAATTAAGCCATGGTCAAAGGGATGTAACTTGAATGTAAATTAAATAGAAAACTTAACCGCAGTACCTCGCCAGTCGTTCTTAATGAAATATATATATATAATGACAAAGGGGAAACTTTTCATTTTGTCCTGTTTTTCCCCCTAAAATTAAATTGTTCTTCATATATATATATATATATATATATATATATATATATATATATATATATATAAAGGAGCTACGGGGTGAGTAATGGATAGCGACTTGTTTAATGGATGTCACTTATCAGTTATCTCCTGTTAATTTCCCTCTGAAAGTTCTCCACTACCTTAACCGGATATTGAACTCACACTCATTGGCTCCTGTCATTGGATCTAACCAACGCCTTTATCCACTGTGCCATGTGCCCTCGAGAGTTTGAGTTCAATACACGGTTAAGGCAGTGGAGAACTTTCAGAGGGAAATTAACAGGAGATAACTGATAACTGGCATCCATTAAACATGGCACATGGAACTAGAACAGTCTACCCCAGTGAGCGAAATGAAGGGTTAAGTTCGACATTCCAACCACCTGAAGAAGGCCGAGGCGTACGATACGTTTTAATAAATATGGCGACAAAGATGAGGACAATAGTCCGAATAATGTAAATAATGCAATATAATCGTATTCCGTATCCTTAGAAATAAGGTAATTCTAATGCCCGCGTCTTTTGTTTATATATGCCTGTGACTAATTAAATGTGTATATAGAGATCACTGACCTACCTCGCTGCCAGAACGAAAGCAAATAGGGTAGTGTAATTTATCTATGTTTGTAGAGAGTGTATTGTTAAAGTTTTAAGTTTTTGAACTCAGTGATTCTTGAATAAGAATGAGGAAAACAATTCAATTCATTTCGTAAGTAAATACGTCCAGGGTTTTTGCATTAGCAATTATTCAGGTATGAATATTCTATGGATGAATTGAAATGATAAAATAGCTTCCTAATCCAAAAAAAAGAGAAATTACTATAGTTGAGGTATTCTAATGGAAGGACTTACGGATAAGATCTTTTTTTTTCTTTTCTTAACTTTGGGCTAAACATATTTGAAGAATTTGTAAATATAACATCTTCAGTGTCAACTTTATTAATTAGAACTGTTTTACTAATTTTAGAATCATGTCAGTCAGGTATTTTTCACTTGATGAATCACAAAGGTAACACGTGAGTGAAGTGTGTGACGTACGTGCAAGCATTGATCTGTGAAAATACAGTTAAATGCAGTGAGGAGAAAATATCCAACAAAAGCAACAGGTTTTCATGGAAAAAACCCATGTCGCCATTTTTCCATATATCAAAATATTTAAAGAACCTGCACTTAAATACTAAGAAAATATGCCGAGATAGCTAGATAGATATGTACAGACTGAGATAGATAGATGGATAGATACAGACTGAAATATATATATATATATATATATATATATATATATATATAGCACACCTTAAGACTATATTTCTTTATATATATATATATATATATATATATATATATAAAGTTGCAAATTAAAAAAAAATAATAATGTTTTATTTTATGAAATAATTATTTATTTATATATATATTTGATGTGTCAAATTGTCCTCAATATTTCATCAGAAATATATATATATATAGTGAATTAAGAGATATTTTATTATGAGGTTTATCATATCTGTCTATCGTAAACTGTCTCTATCTATCTATCTATCTATCTATATGTATATATATATATATGTATGTGTGTGTGAGCGAGCGTGTGTGTGTGTGTGTGCGTATGTAAGGCTTTTTTGTTAGTGTATTTGTCGTATACCCAGCATATATATATATATATATATATATATATATATATATATATATATATATATATATATATATATATATATATATATATATATATGATTTTAATGGATACCAGTATTTTTGAGTAGACGCTCCAGAGGGCACATTCTCTTTTATTAAGCAGGAACTTCATTTATTATGTTGGCTTGCATACAAAACTGTTGCTTTTGTTTCATTTGTAAGCGACTGAAATTAAAACAAAGGTTTTTGACGATATTCAACACGACACCTAAGTTTTTTCTTGAAAGAAATGTCGTCTGCAATCCAATGCTGCGATGTTGGTTATGGAATCATTTTTTTCCTCTTCAGTTAATCAGAGAGAAATCGTAACTATTTACTTAGTTTGTTAACTGAAACACAAATTTGATCAATAATTTGCACACTGGTT